AACATTTGCCACTCCACTTTTCTATTAGCGTGCTCTAATTTTGGTTCATCACCACTTGTTGCCATTTTGTCACATGCACCTCTTCCAAATCCAGGTGGCAGAGGCTTGAAGATGGAACTTTGGAATGGGTCAACACCAAGATACCTGACTGACATTTGGGACTACAATCAAAACACAAGTGGATACTGGGAACAGTGGATCGACTCCATGCCCCACTCTTTCACTTTTGATAATAATTATTTCAGCTCACGAACCAGGGGGTTCTTCAGCCCTCCAGCCTCCGCCAACTACAATATATACCTCCACTGTGATGACAGATGTGAGCTCTACCTCAGCAACTCCAGCCTCCCAGAACACAAGGTATACAAGAGGTTAAGTTCAACATGAATCATTTGAGTAATCAAAGAAAAATGCTTTAGTTCAATTTGAAATAATCAAAGATCTGGGAATTAAATATAGATATTATGTGATGTTAAAATCGCTTACATTTTTTCTGCCTGTTTTTTCCACAACCTCCAGGTTAAAATCGCATACCAGGAAAGATATGTCTCAGATTATACAAAATTGTCGTCGCAAAAGTCTAAAGTAATGGCTCTGGAAGAAGGAAAATAGTAAGTAACTGATATGACTTAAGTGGCTCTTTTCATTTCTTGAGAAATACTAATCATGCATTCATGTCACACACATTGTCGCTGTGGAATTGCAGATTCCCCTTGTATTTCTTTTCTTTTGTTTTTGTATGTAGTTACTACATGGAAATGCTGCATCAAGAATATGCAGGTGCAGCTTCTATCAACATTGCCATGTTCAAAGAAGAGAGTCCCTTTACAGCAGACCAGACAAATGATGCTGTCAATGAAGCTCAGGATATTGGGGCTCAATATGAAGTGTTCAATGAGGAACAGGTATGTAGTTGCTAATCTTTAGTTTTTGCTTAAAAAACCACATCCCAGATGATCTGCTCATCTCCCCTTTAAATAATGGATTGATAAATCTCTCTTATCTGTGCACTACAGCTCAAACCTGTTAGCTTAGCTTAGCATAGACATGAAAACTGAGAACACAAAAGCTAGCCAGCACCATCCAAGGAGGCCACTGCCTCCAAGTAATGCATTGCTTACATTTCTGTTATTCTTTTTTTTAAACAGAAGTAGCTAGCTGTTTCCCCCTGTCTACAGCCGCTACAGCTATAAGACTTTAGCTTAGCTTAGTTTATAGACTGGAAACAGGTGGAAAGCTATTGAAAATATCCAAGGAAGTCATTGCTCCCAGTAAATAAAAAGAGCTACACAAACGTTTTTTTATGCTTCAAATGTTGTTAAGAAAAATAAAAACTAGCTCGCTGTTTCCTTTATGCTAAGCTAACATTTTCTCCTATTTCCAGCCTTTATGTAACATAAGGACCAGGCCCGGTCCCAGAACAAAATGACTGAGATTAGAGAGGGTGCAGTGGTAAAGTGCTATTTTTATAAGTGGGGAGTGGCGCTAACACCCTCTAGGGGGGTCCTCACCACCATTTCTTTTTTAATATTGAAGTTAAAAGCATCAATCTGGTGCACTTTGAGAGCAAAATGAAGACATCTATGGATACATATCAACATCCATATGAAACAGAACTGTAAACAGATTTACTTTTTCTTTATGGATATTTTACAAATCACTCTCCTTTTAAGACCGAAATGTCGACTACATGCATAGCAGAAGATGGCATCTTTTTTACAGGAATATTCCAGCCAATCTCTGTTTTGAAACCATGAGCTGCAAAATGAGCGCCTTACCCCGCTTTACAGGCGAGTTGGGTACTTTTTTAAATATACCTGGGCAGGCTCTGTTTTGCCGAGGTCCTCTGGCACTTGCGGGCCGCTGAGGGGTGGCGGTGTTTGGGGCAACGAAGACGGCTGCGGCTGCTCCGCCTCTGTGGGCGAGGCGGGCAAAGCCGGCGAGTCGGGTGGAAGGACGTTAGGGTCCACGGCAGTGGCCGCGGGTAACGTAATGTCCCCATGATCTGAACTGTTATTACCTGCAGTAGATGCAGTGTTACTGCTGGCGATAAGGGCTGGTTGTTTTAACCATTTTCTGATGTCCATCATTGACTGCTGTGTGAGCACTTTACAAATGACGAACGCGCAGCCGCACAGGTCACGCGCACCTGACACGTTACTTTGTTGTGCCGAGAGAAGGGAGACGGAGGCGGTGCAATGAAGGTACAAAGCTGGCTTTATTGAGCAGCAGAAAAGCACATGTTATTGGGTCGGAGCCCGGGAAGAGAAGAGAAAGAAACCAGGAGGGCACACAATATATATAGAGGGTAACACATATGCGGAAACAATACCCCTACCCCACAGTTCCGTGGTGAATTATGTCAACCAGTGATCACTACAACTTACCGTATTAATGTATGTACATATATTATTGTATTATTATTTATTATTATTATTATTAGTATTATCATTATTATAATTATACATTTATTAGTTATGTAGTTTTCGTTCGTAGTCTTCTTCTCTTCTTGTTATCATCACTTTATTTTAGTTTAACATACCTACCAAATTTATGTTGTAGTCGTACAAATTAAACCAG